AAAGTGAAACTTTTATTGTGTATAGTTTATTGGCCACTCCCAAGTACATGATGAAATTAAATGAAATGAAACTCCATGATGAAGCAAGTCTTGATCCAGGCTCACCACTTCCCCTGTCCACCAGACTTCAGCATTTTGGGGGTTGCATTTAAAGATGCTTACAATTCCAAATTAATATTTGCTGGAGAGCTGGCTTCTTTTGGAGCTGTATGTCACACAAAAGCCTGCTGGTGATATTCAGAACATCAACCAGATAATTTCTATCATTGCTGCACCTGCTGTTCAAGGGGACATCCCAAATATCCTCCAGTATGGTTTTGGGGACCTGACACCCAGTGAACCCACTGAAAACTGACTGGTGAGTTGGACTCCCTGGTCCCCCATCCCACTTACCTTCTTTTCTAAGCATTCTGCAAACTTCAACTGCTTCAACAGCTTCTTCTGCTTGTTGCTGAAGCGATTGTCCTGCTCTGCACTGGTTCCCTGCAGCACAGCAAACAACAGTTTCAGCCTGCAGGGCCCTCCACCACCTCCAAGGATGATTTTCCCCCCAATGTGCAAGGCTGGATTTTTGTCACTTATTCCTTTCCAGGTGCTTTTCAACTGGAGCTCTCACCAAGTGCTGGGGATTTTGGGTGAGCAGCTCCTGAGCCCCACAGTGACACCTCAATCCTAACCCCCCTGGCATTGCCCAGAAATCAAAGTGCCAGCAGCATCAAAGTGCCAGGAAAAAGCTTTATTAATTCCTTAATAAAAGAAATCAAGTGTTTTTCATCTGTCCAGGAACAAAAACGTCCTGTTTGCTTACAGTGACACCCCTGAAACCTTTGGGCAGCTTCCCTGAGGCAAAGAGAGGTACAAAGAATGCATTTTATTGATCCTGCTCTGTTAAAAGTTCACCAACTGGCTCCACTTCCATGGACAGGAGCTGTAGGTTAATCCACTCTGGAGGGAAAGGCCTGGAATCCAGTTCTGGAAAACTGAGATTAAACAGAAGCAGGCAGGATTAGGGGAGATGCAGGGCTGCACCCAGGTCCTGATGGGTGCTCGTGACTGAGGACAAACCCACAGCTGGGGAAGCTGACTCTGGACACCATGGATGGAAACCAGGGAATTTTATACAGGGAATTCTCAATGGGAGAACAGGGCTCAGAAAAAGCAAAAATATGAACTGTCGAGGAATTAAGTTATAACAAAGAAGAGAAAAACCCAAATTCTACGTTTATTGTGGTCAGAAAGCACCTGGAATTATCAATATTACATGCTGCAAAGGCATCAGTTATTAAAAGGGAACAATCCACTGACAATTCCCAGTTGCTATTCCAGAACCTGGGATTCCTAAACTCTGACTGTGGCACAGGCACTTCCAGGGATTAAAACTCTTCACAATATTTGCAGTCTGTGTGTGGCTTACAAAAAACCCACAATACTTGCCAGTTCACACAACAACTGAATGTTCTTTTGGGGTTTTTTAAAATTATTTCACAACCCAGAAGGGAAATGGAAAGGAAGTTTCTTGTTGATACCACGTGGCAAGCAGCAAAGGGAACCAAAGGGAAGCAAACAGGACAGAGCAAGGGGGCTACAGGAGTTTAAAGACAGACAAAATAGGTTTGCACTGAAACTTCACAGAAATGTGAAGAACTGGCAGAATTATAAATAGGAGGTTGCTTGGTATGGGGAATCCAAATTGCTGCTCTGCTGCACTTCTGTCACTTCACATTTGGTTCCTCCTGAAGCCAGAATGAAACTGTTCACAGCCCCATTCCAGTGCCATGCTGCTTTGGTTTTTATAAAATGCCACCTTCCACAGGCCAGTTTAAAAGAATATTAGATTTCTAATCCAGAGTTTTCAGCCCCAGTAATCCCGCTGTCAATCAATTGTAAACCTTTTAAGAACTGCATCAGAACACGGGCAGATTTAATCTGCAATTATTTTTCTCAAGTTAGTCCATGAACACAGAACTGAACTAAGGGAAGGTTTAGGTGTGCTACCTGGCTTTAAAAGCACCCTAGCTGCAGGAAATGAAAATAAAATGGGCTGAACAAATGAATGAACCTTGAAATTTAGATCGGTTCTCAAAATTATCATAGAAACCCCCAAATAAGGTCGTTTGAGTTAATGGAGAAAAAAGAAGAAAATAAATAGACCAGGCACAGGTTACATGGTCTCTGCAGAAAATGCAGCACAGCTGTAAGACTAAAAAAGAAACTCAAGGATTAAAAATAAAATATCAACATATGAATACAGCCTAGCTTCTTTTTGCTACGAATACATTTAAAACCTCCAAAAAAAACCCTCAGTAAAAACAGGGGCAAGGTTGTTTATTGCTTTCACCGCGGCCGCTAAAAGCGTGCACAGCGCCAAGCCGGCCTGGCCCCTCAGAGCCCCCCGGCCCCTTCTCCCCGCGCGCCTCGGGGGTCGCGGCGGTGACACGGCACCTCCGGGGGCGCTCCGGGCCCCGCGAGGAGCGTGGCCGGGCAGCGCGGCCCCGGCGGA